AAATCTACTGGTGGCGAATGCTATTTTATTTAGACTAGTCTTAAGTGGAACCAATCCAACTGAGATGTAGGTTCGGTTTCGAAACCCAAATCGTGAAGATGGGATTTAGAAGAAATTGCATCCTGGCTTGTTAATGTCTCCATCGTGAAGAACTATTCTCCGAGCTCACTTGTCTATGGCTCCATTGTCTAACGGTTAAATATACTTCTTCTTAGCTATTAAAGGATTTCTTTATATTCATCTATTCTTATCGAGGTTGGTTAAATGTTCCATGAATTATCTGAATCCTTAAATGTATGATTGGTGTCTTATATTTTAATCCTTCTAAGGAATATTACATTTAAAGTGAAAAGTCACAAAGAATAATATATTTGTAAAATTAAAATGACAAGAATTTATATTTAACAAAGGTCTTTGTTATATAAATGGACTTAGTTTTCCGTCAATGTCTTTATTTCTTGCTTTACATTTTTTTTTAATTGATCTATAAAATACTTATTAATTGGCCAGAGAAATAAAATAAACTGTATCCATCCTACTTCATGTATTAATCTAATATACCTCTGTTGTAGAATGAACACAATAAATTTCAAATGATTCAGAAAAAGAAATGCCATTGTAATAATAGAAAAAATAAATAGTAATAATTAAACATGAAATATTCATGAACTTTTTTTAAATGCTTAATGTGCTATCATCCTAAGAAGTCAGCACAAACTTTAAATGAATGGTAAATAACTTGTCAGTGCTAAGTGTTATTAGTTTGTTTGGATGTCCAGGAGCAAAACATCCAGGTCATCAGCGCCCAATCAACTAAATAACAGTACTTTAATGCTGTTCAGGTGGTTGGTACAAGAATAAAAAAAAATAATAGAATAAAATAAATAAATAATAACAATTATAGATAGTAAAATAGAATAGATAAATAAACTAACAAAAAATAGCAATCAAATCAATAAATTAATTGAAATTAATAATAAATAAATAAAAACTAATAAATAAATGTTCAAAGGATCATTAGTTATCAACTTGTCATATTAGATATTACGTGTTATTAGTTATAGTAAGGTTATGAACGTACTGTAAAAAAAAGTTTGCGAGTTCTTAATGGATCTATTAATGTTATTATTAATTCTTAAAATGCCAAAGCGAAGTGAAAAGTCTTAGTTGCTAAATTATTTGGTTTAAAATGCTTTATTAGAAAACATGAATGAAAATTCTGATGGTTCAGAAGGCAAAGAACTTGAAGAATACATAGATGAAATCCTAGCTGTCTTCATTCCATTTTTTAAAATATTGTACGTAAACATTGAACGAAGAATCAAACACATCAAAACCTTCCAATAACCTTCTCTGTGCGTTTACGAAGTTTGCAACACTTTACAGAACCTTAGGCTGGATTAAAATCGAGAGTGCTAGCGGCCATATTTAATACACATTTCGTAAATAATTTTCTCGATATTACAAAATTAAGAGGTTTACAATACTTAGGTAAGAGGTTTACAATAATGGTTGCACAAATATCCCTACAATTTTTAAATATGTTTAATTATTAATATTTATTTGTTCTTCTACTACTACAATGAGTTATTTTTTTCTGATTCATTTGAAGATTATTGTGTTAGTGAAGGAAATCCCTCATTGTATTTCAAACATCTAACAGTTTTTTTATTCAATAGTGTGTATTGTCTGTATTTGGAGAAAACTCAAGTTTCATCGAACTAAACTTCATAGAATAATTTTTGACCTACCAAACATTTCCAAATATGACATATGTTGCCTCAGATTGCCAAATCCAACTCGGAGACCCATGTGCGAGAATCGAATAGAAGTCACCTGACCATTATTGAGCCACCATTACTTTTAAAAACCTTTTACCATTGAGCTCGAAGTCTGGAAATGGCACTACCGAAATCGGAACCTATATTTCTTCAGAGGACACGAATGTCAAGTTGAACGATAGAATCATTATGAGCTAGTAATAGCAATCTGCCAAATATGATAGTACTATCAGGAGTAACCATATATCACACTGAAAACAATTTCATTAGACAATCGCTCAATCACAAGGCATGAAATAAGAAAATGAAAAAGTCATTAAGATGGTTTACGAACAAACAATTTTTTAAAATAATTTCTTATGAACTCCTAAAATTCACAACTTAAATAGTACGCTCATCCAAGGTCGATTAAAATATGATTAAAAAATGATTAAAAAAGAATGTCTGATGACTGTTTGAAAATCAATGTAGACTACAGCTCAGTAAAGATAATATGCAAGTGATTGAAAAGGAAAGAAATTAAGGATGAATGTTGTTTTGATAAAATGAGAAGAAAAGAATTTTTGTAGAGATTACTAGGAAAAAAGTATAAAACAAAATATTTCATAATTAATTAAACAATTATTACCATCGAGTAATATTCCATATACATATATATATATATGGAATATTACTCGATGGTAATAATTGTTTAATTAATTATTACTAATTATTAATTATTATATATATATATATATATATATATATATATATATATATATATATATATATATATATTTAAAAACATTTTTTTTAGAAATAATATTTTTCGTGACTAATCATTTGTTTTTGAAAAACGATTTTTTTTTTTTAAATAAAGGAAAAGGAAAGGAAAGGAAAAAGAAAAAAAAATTAACTTGAAACTGAAACGTTAAATAATAATTTATGAATGTATATAAAAATGTTTTAAGTGTAAAATAAAAGGTTGTGAGATTAAAAGGGGTTTTGATATTAACTTAATCATATATGGATTAAATATAATAATCATATTAAAAAATCTCACAAAAAATTAATAACCTAAATAAGGTTGTTTATCATCAATGCTAAGATTTATGTTATCGTAAGGATAGCTAATTTTAGTAATATCCTCATGCTAATATGACTTTATTTTGCTGATCAACGTCAAAATATCCATAGAAAATATTTATGTGGAGAATAATATAAAACTTATATTATTACGACTAAATATAAATATTAGTCGGTATAGTTAGGAAAGAGTTAATCGAATCAATAACCAACTATATGTGTAAACATAAAAGAAACAGTAAGAATTGGAAGCAAGCATTTAATAAAAAGTGTTCAGGTTTGATTGAATGAACAACTAATAAATTCACACTTTTTTTATTTTTTATTTTTTTTTTTTAATTTGTTTATTTAGAAATATTACATTCTGTCACATCAAGGACATTTATAATAGTGTTCAGAGAAAGCACACTCACACTCTATTTACAATAAAAAAATAAAATAAAATAATACAGAAACTTAATAATAATAAATACAATGAATAAAATAAAAATAAATACAATAAAATAAAATAAATGTATATAAACAAAAGAACTAACCTAATCATACACACTCGGGCTTGAGTGGAGGATCTGGCCATTGCCAAAACTCCAATAGATGCTTATTTACAAAAGGTCTCTGGGCCACTGCCGCTTCAACCTTCGAGGAGGATTGTAAGGATGGGTGGTGCTGGATAGAGATTGTGCAAGGGGATTTGGATGATAGGTAAGGTTCTGGTGAAATTTGGAGAATTTTTCTGGAATAAGGTCTAGGACAAATGGGATATTAAGGTCATGGTGTAGGATTTTGTTATTTAGATAGAACGGAGCATCAACTATTGTTCGAAGGACTTTAGATTGAAAGGATTGAATACGTTTGATGTTAGAAGCTTTTGCTGTACCCCACAGTTCAAGTCCGTATGTCCATATAGGTTTCAGTATTGTCTTGTAGATAAGTAATTTGTTTTCAATAGAAAGTTTGGATTTTCTGTTTAGTAGTCTGTATAGCTGGCCGTATCGTCGGTTGAGTTCTTGTCTTTTGAGTCTAGTATGTGGGTTCCACGTCAGTCTTCGGTCTAAATGAAAGCCAAGATACCGGACTGTGTCTGAGTAAGGAAGCTGGATGGAATTAAAGTGTACTGGTGGACAGGAACTGCGTCGGAGTGTAAAGGTAATGTGTTGGCATTTAGATTCATTAACTTTAATGCGCCAGTTATTACACCAGTGCTCAATCAAGGTGAGGTGGTTTTGGAGATTTAAGGATGCTATGTTGGGATCTGAGTCGGATGATAGAATAGCGGTGTCATCAGCAAAAGTTGCCACACACTTTTTAGTTAAGTTTTTTTTTTTCTCGAAAATATGAGTTTTACGCAAGAATAAAGGCTTTTTTAAACGCTTGAACTGAATTCATAAAAAGTTTAGCTCGATTCGTAGATAAAATTTTTGCGATTGCGCAGTAATTAAAAATGAAGAAATACCTACAAATTTTTAAAAAGGGTACAAACTTTCCAAAATATCTCAGAAAATTATAATGCATATATTTCATATTGCAACAGTCATGTATTTTACTTATATACCTTAATCAATCCCACAATTTCCCATGGAAATCATCTATATAATGAATTTTTATTTAATTTACGAAACATGTTTCTAAAATCAGTGACGGTTCAATTTAATAGACTAAAATGTAATAAATAAAACGAATCAGGAGTTATATCAATCTTTTCTAGTTGGAGAAACAAAACCAAAATGTATCCATGGGCCCGCCACGAAATAACTTGCCTAGTCCTGAATAAATAACATTTACTTATTTTTATAAATAGATTTATATCTTTGTCTAAACATAAATTGGCAATGATAGGATTTTAAAGAGGCAAGATTAAAATTTAAAAGAATTATAAATAAACAGAGACCGGAATGTGAGACATGAGGAAGAGTAATATCAAGTGTTGCCCTTGTGTGTAACTGTTCCTTGTCATTGATCTACTTAAAAGAATTACGCGAGTGGATCACTCAATCATGTTCTTCGACTTAATACTTCCTAGTCCTCAACATTAAATTACATAGTTATGATATTGTGTTTGGAAATCCATTTTTCAAATAATTTTAGGAACATCCTAAGGCATAAATACTGAAATAAATATAAAACAAAAATAATAATAATAAATAAACTACTCACCTATAAGGGTTATGTTGACGTGGGCCAAGCCAATGTAGGCTCCCAATTCGGCGGGTACTAGATCCTTCGAGAAAGCACTGTAGGAACTTACAACTCTCGTTCGAGCTACGTGCCAGCTCGATCCCATCTTGCACACTGAAACGAATAATTATACAATATCAAATATTGTAAAAAAATAATTATATTCCCATGAAGAATAAATAAGTGTCTCATACAGATTTATTAGAATAGTAGTAAAATTATTCTACATAAATGAAATTGTGTAGATGAGCTAAGTAAAAATCTAAAGTAACAAATATCGCAACTGTTAGTGCAATAGGTTGTATATAAAAATTTTCAATTTTTATTCTATTTATTCCAAAAGTGATTTTTGAAGGTCATTATTTAGTCTGCAACTGGCATAAGTAGTCTGCTATTATGGAAAATAGCAGAGGAAAATAAAATATGAAATTATACTAATATATCACAAAGAATTACCAGTTTTTAATGCTCTCCTATAAAACACTCAATTTTTACATACGACCTTCTGCAGTAACAGTAGCGATATACCTTACCAAAACAATTACAAGCTATACTGCATAGATTTGGGTAGCTATTCCCCCAATTGACTGATAGGCCAGCAACCATTTTAAAATAAAAATAATAGTAGATAGAAAGTAAACTTTATTCTGGGACGAGGTCCCTTATGAATAACAGTTATGAACAAAAAATAAAAACTACATCTGGCCAAAAATTACATTAATCAATATTAAAGAAAATATACAATATCTCAGTAAAAGTATATTAAAACAAGTACAAATAACATCATTTTGAAAAAAAAATTATTTAGATGAAAAAAAAAACAAACACAATAATGTAAGCATGGGTTGATTTTTAAAATTAAAACTCAATCAATTTTATCAACCATTCACCTCAGTCAAAATCTGTTTTGCAATATTTATTTCATCATTGTATTTATTGCAATATTTGTATAACGTCATTTTGGGGTGTGAGAAGGAATTGGTAGAGATGATATTTAAATGAGGACAAGGAAGAGGCATGGCGGATATCAGATGGCAAGGAATTCCAGAAGGCAGTGGATCGGGCGATAAAGGAATATTCAAATGTCTTAGTACTATGGGAAGGGATATAAAGGTCGGAAAAACGGGATCTTGTTTTCTTGGAGTGGACCACGGGTTTGAACTGTAGGAGACTGTAGATGTAGGAAGGGTGTCGGGTGTTGATCGTTTGGAATAGGGAAGATCCAAGGAAATATTGTCTGCGGAAAGAAGGGAAGAGCCACTTTAACTCATCGTAAAGGTGGGACACATGAGACCGCCTCGATGTACCGAAGACAAATCTTAAACAGGTATTCATGAGTCGTTTCAATCTATCCTGGAGTACCATCGGGATGCCTCCGTACACCAAACAGCCGTAGTCAAAGTGAAGGTAATAATAAAAGTACTATTGATACACCAGTAAGCAAAAAGACATTAACTGACATTTCATAGGGGGCGGGGTGGCCGAATAGGCTAAAGCGTGTGCACAGCACCGCTAGTTGCCTGGCAACCGGATAACAGAGATTTGAGATGATATAAAAAGTACGAGTTCGCGTCCCGGTGCCGGAGGGGATTTTAAATTCCCCGCCCTCACCCCCCGACCCCCGACCCGGGAAAATCCCGTATAGCCTAAAAGGCGAGGTAGGGAAGAACAAAAAAAAAAAAAAAAAAAAACATTTCATAACAAAAAGAGAAAATCAGAACATTTTGCGTTTGTTCTAAATATATTTGATATATAAAAGGGTTTGTATCACTTTTTTGTTTTTAACGATAGATATTATCTCTTACTATTATCCCTTAGTTGAGCGAAAACCTTTCTTCCTCATTTCAACGGTTCATTCGATTTGATTTAGTCTCTACGCAGATTCACAGAACAATGCAGGCTACACTTCTAAAAAGAAACACCAAGCCAACACCTTTTTCTATATTTTTTCTTCTAATAACTTATCATGATTCTTAAGACAATAAATAGAATTAAGTAAAATAGAATTTCATAATAGTTAATGTTCATTCTAAGAGATTTTTTTTAAGAAATTTAAGAAAATGTTAATTAATAATAAAACACTCCATACGCTACAAAAGACGCTCAGAGACTAAAACAGCAAATATATAAATGAAATGATTAAACAGAGAAATGTTAAACCTGAGCAAATATATTGTAAATTGGGCAAGACACAATTGTTCATATAGTGGCATTACACAACGAACTAAGTGGCAGAGATCGACATACCTATGTTATGTTGCATAACGAAAGTCTCTCAATCATTTCACAATAAGCCGAAATCGCTAAGAAAATTTGAAAAGGGATCAATGCAATTTTGAACGTGTAATAGACTTTATTATTGAATAACTTTATTATTTATAAATGAAAAGGAGAAAACTCTATTAAAGATATTTGTCATCATTTTATAATTTCTATTTTTTTCTTTCTTATGATCTTGGATGTATCAAACAAATTTATATGCAGTGACTGATGGAGTGAGAGTGACATCAATATTGACTCAAACTTTTAATTTTAATATAGTAAAAAAAAATAACAATATGATTAGAAATTTAATTCTTTAAGTATTAAGTACTAAGTGAAGGTCAGTAATGTGTACGTTGCACCTGGTATTTTCTTAATTTATTTTCCTTAAAAATTAAAATTGATTTTCCTTAAATTTTTTATATGTGTTTGTAAATGCATTCGTAATGTTTTGTAAATTACAAACAGAGTGAAAATACTCTATATGGTTGAAAATCTTCAAAAAAAACTATATTTATAAATTCCTAGCTAATTGGTTTTTAAATAGTAAAATCCTGATATCTTGCCATCTTTGACATATTTTTTTACTTAAAACATCACACGCTCATTTGCTGCAGAATGTGATTGGATGAATATAAATATATCTTCATATGCATATAAAGTTCAAGTTAACCTCTGGTATGTCATAACTGAAAAACACTAATTTTTATTGGATACATTCGAAGTTCTTGATATATTTGAATAATGTAATAATTTCCGTCAATTAAAGTGCTACCGCAATGGATAGTTCCTTCATAGGTTAACATCATGCTTAATAATGATACTACACATTTTCTTGTTGTATTGTATGAATACAGTTTTCAATTTCAAAACAAATCAAAATAAAATTTAAGTCAAACTATGATACAAAATAACAATAGTGCACGATTTGCCAAGGAGCTAAGAACTGACCATTTACCAGTTAAAAATGCACTTCATTACAAATTTCCTTATACAACATCATTATAAATTATACCTACAATCAGATCAAACAAAATTCTAGTTTTAGATTCATGATTTTGTTGTAGGAAACGAACAATGTCTACTTTTGAAGGAACATCATACTTTTTGATAAATCTGATTAAAAAATTTCGACCAAGAAAAGTCCAAGGAGAACCAGCGAGGTGACCTTCACCTTTCGCATTGTTGTATTCGCTAAAATATTTGGTAACATTTTGTTTATCGCTTTCTTCTCTTCTCATCAGCTATTATAGTTCAAGGGGATATTATTTCTCTCGTCGCCGATTACTGATTTCACATCCTGATATAATCTACCGAAACTAACAGCTAGCAGTGAAGTTAAGGTTTTCTCGCGTTTGGCTTGGTATTGAGGAACAGGTTTTCGAAAAGTAAACATATGAATTTTATGATGTTACACGTTACATGGATAAGCATTAGACGTTCAAACCGAAATAACTTATTAATTAAATGTTATAGGACACCGGTTACATATTTACAGAAAATTTAATAAATATTTGTTTATTTTTTAACCACAGCAAAATTATCGATGGAAAACGTACAATATGTAGTTTATTTGCGGTAGACATTTCTGAATTGAGTTTATTTCATGTTTTATATTAATTAATTTATTTTATAACAATTTTATTTCTTTTTATAATAACGAACTAGTAATGATTAATGTTTAGTCAAGGTTAAATTAAAATAAAAAAACCAAAGCACAGACATACCTAGTTATATATACACTATTTACAATCAGGCGAGATAACTCCGAGAGAGACTTGTCCCTTTGAATATGGAGGGAAAAACAGACTCCAGAGGATATAGTCTTGCCCGAACTCCCATATATATATACTACAAAAGGTCGCAGGGCCACTTCCGTTTTAAACTTCTTGGAGGATTATAGGGATGAATGGTGCTAGAGAGGGATTTTAGAAGGAGATTTGGATAATACGTAATGTTATGGTGGACCCTAGAGTTTTTTTGTGATAAAGTCTAGAACAAATGGGACGCCATAGTGCAGTAAAAATCGAACGAGCCGTTTTTGAAATATATGTACCGTAAGATGGTGTAACTTGGTTCTGGGTGGGTAACTTTTGGACAGCGGGTAAAATTTAGTTTGTGGTGATTCCGTGGTAGATATACTCTGTTGGTTCAGTCTGCAAAAACATGCATTGTGTAGACATGTGCTGCGCTACTACCTTGCGGCAGTTTGAGAACCCTGGTTCACTACACTTGTTGTGCAGTTAGGGTTTACTTATTTCCATTCCTTTTGTGCGTCAAAATTCTTGATTTCATGAAACTTTCGCTTTTTGTGACTCATGAGTAGTGTGCCGCAAGCTAGTAGTGCAGTACATACCTACATCAAGCACGATTTGGCTGACAGAACCAACACAGTGTATCCACCGTGGAGTCACCACAAACTAAATTTTACCTGCAGTATTAACAGTCCCCCATCTTGCGGTATATCAAGTAACAAACGTTCACTCATCCGTTGAGAAGTAGTTTTTTGAATTAGTGGATAATCTAATATACCTATTAGTTAAGTTTTTCAAAATCCCACGCACTTCTTGAGATGTTTATTTGTCTAATACAATACAGACAGCGCGTAAATAAGCGATGGTAAAGGTTGGAACATGAAATTTATTTTAAAAAGTTCGCTTTTCGCTGTAGAATGACAGTGGAAATTACTTAAGGATGAAATGAAGAGTTTAATCATAAAGGATGGTTAAATGGAGGTGGTACCTGACTAAGCAGAAATGGAGGGAATATTTGGAGGCTATGTATAAGGATCATAGTCCATCACAAAAAGGGAAACACGAAGTATAAAATGATCTTGAAGGGGTGCTTTCAGCACAATTTTAGGGAGAAAATGATAGAGAAAATAATAAATAAAATATTTGAAGACTTGGTATTTGAAGGGATACAAAATTAAGCCCTAAACGATTAAAATAAGCCTAACTCTAGCAGTATATAAATAGTCATTGACCCACATTGGAGATGCAAAAGATTAGATACAAAGCGGGCTGCTACAGAATCGTGATCGGCGAGTTGGCTCCGAGCACATATCTGATCCGCTCTGGTTAACACCGCTTCCACAAGAAGGGTAAACACACAAAGTGTTGCACCACGCCACTGGTAAGTATTAATCACCATATCTAGGTCTTTCTTTCTATCAATAATGCCCTTTAGAATATTGGCCATATCCTATGACCAATGAAATACCATGTCCCGGATTATTGGCCACTGTCACGTATTGTCTAATTAATGGCTCACAATTCACTGGCCTAGTTGTGAATTATTGGTCGTGCAACCCTTCAAGGTTCTCTGGGAGATTTCTCAGGATTAATTTCCCATAAGGACAAAGCTGATTGAGTGAAAGTGAGAAGTAATTGAGTTTTGTGATTTAAATCTAATGACCTGTTCATATATTAAAGTTATGGCTTATTTTTTAAGAGAGAAGTTTCACTAAAAATTATATTTATAATAATTATTATAATTATCATTATAATTAGTGAATAGTCTACTTCAAGTGAAGGAAATATAGTAACCAACTAAACACATTGGAAATATCACATTTAATTTACCAGCTATAGGGTCTGAAATCTGAAAAGAAAAAAAGAGAATTTAATCTACTGTAGATATTCAGCCTGAATATACATTAATACAGACCCAAATCTCACTTCGAAACGGTAAAATTCAATGGAACAATATGTTGGTTATTATAAAGATATTGAAATCCTGAAAAATCTCAAATTATGGCTATGCAATAAAGTCATTTCTGATAAATGACTTCGAGACCTGGGCATTGACCAGAACTCTAGAAAGAACTATTGAAAGATTTGAGACTAAAATCATCCATACGAAAACCGAAGCGATCAGGATTCAGAATAATAACACAGGAGAAGGATTAATAATGAACTTCTTGCAGAAACTAGTCAATCAATATTTCAAGACATGAGGACAAGAAGGTTAAGATGAGCGAGGCATTTAGGTCGGAACAATCGGTCAGAAAGCCTCTACACAACAACGAATGACTCAATAGTAACCAAGAGATCAGATGGAAGGTCAAAAACCAGATGTATGGATAGAATTAAAAAAGATGCAATTGAGCTGCATGCAGATAATTGGAAAGAAACAGCCCAAGATAGACTGAGGTGGAGAAGGTTGGTTAAGACGACAAAAGATCTACAAGCTTACTAAAAAAAAAATATGTTGGATATAATTTTAAATATGCAAGTCTATTGAATTTGTTTTTAGAGGCTTAATTAACTTCATCCTGAACGATCTTCATGTCACTTGTTTTATTCTTTGATAATCGTGGCTCTATCCGCCTTGCTATGGTTATACCATTGAGTAGCTTAAAAATCTTTTCTATCCTGTTCATTAGGCTTTTTCATTAATTATGAATGCTCTCTCCTCATTTATTAACAACAATGAAGTTTGTCAGGATAGTTTTCTGAGCCTATAACCAGATTAATAAAACTTCCTAGTATCCCAAATGTTCCTAAATTCCTTTAACTCTCAACTATAAACATTTCAACAGGACCTGTGAATAAACAGGGAGAGATATCATTTTCAATCAATACAACGCATCTTTAAAAACAACACATAGAAAAGGGCTAAGATAAATCTGAGTATCTTTTCATCACTATGTAATGGTTCGAATATGATAATTATTACACGTTTTTCTGTTTCAGAGGGATCGATAGACAAGCTCAGCCTAGAGGAACTTCTAAGGAATTTTCACCGACAATCCTCTTCTCATCAGGCCCCCTGGTAGTTTCCTAGGAGGCAATGAAATCCGTGCGAGGACATGAATATTCCAGCCTTAATATTTTATATGAATACTATAGCACTAGTACCAATGCCCTTCGGTGTGGCAGACTGTATTAATACTCGATAAAAGTTAAAAAAAAAAAATTATAAACATCAAAATTTAATGACTTTCAAAAATTAAAATTTCTTCAAACAACTATATTCAAGAAAATAGTCGGAAATTAAATATTCAACATATTGAAGTTATTTATCCTTTAAATAATATATAATTGTACTACTAACTTGTGAAATACTATCAAGTCGAAAAAAAATATAATTAATCATTATTCATAAAATCCCAGCAATAATTGTTTTTTTTTTTTTATTATTTTAATGGAATTTACAACTGTATTACATAGAGAATACAATAAGTAAATGAGAAATTTGTAACATGGCATGTGCAACATGAAGAGAAACTACCCATTGGTAGAACTCAAATTAAAGTTCTATATTAGAAGATCCCGAGGCCATCTTCTTTTCAGACGCCTCGGGGGGTTATCAGGGATCGAGGAGGAAGCAAGGTTTGAAACGAGAGGATTCGGATGGTTCTGCAGTTTGTTATGGAAGGAAAGGTATCTGGATTGGGCCAGATCGGAAACATATGGAACATTAAGGTCTTTATGGATGATTTTATTTGTGACAAAGTAAGGAGCGTTGAGGATTTTACGAAGGGTTTTGGATTGTAAGGATTGGATACGAGAGGAATTCGATGGTTTAGTGGAGCCCCAAAGCTCAATTCCGTAAGTCCAAATAGGTCTTATTATTGTCATATATACGAGTCGTTTATAATTGATTGAAAGCTTAGATCGTTTGTCTAGTAAGTGCTGCAGTAGTCGAAAACGTCGGGCGGTTTCTAGTCGTTTCAGTCTGGTATGGGGGTTCCAAGTGAGTCGTTTGTCAAGGTGGAGTCCTAAGTAGCGGATTTGCTCAACAGGAATAAGTGGAGTATTATTGAAGGATACTGTAGGACAAGAGGTCATAGGTTTACGACGGAGGGTAAAGGTGATTTGATGGGATTTGTTGGAATTTATTTTTATTCTCCAATTTTTACACCATTCTTCAAGGCTTGTGATATGTGATTGAAGAGTTTGGGATGCAATTAAAGGATCATTATTAACTGATAGGATACACGTGTCATCGGCATAGGTGGTGATGACCGTGTTGGATTGGGTTGGGATGTCAGCTGTATAAACTGTGTAAAGGATAGGACCTAGGATACTACCTTGAGGAACACCGGCAGACTGAGTAAAAAGAGATGAATAAGCATTGTTATGATTGACTTTGAAGTATCTGTCTGTAAGGTAGGAACGGATAATGAGGAAGTATGTAGGTGGTAGGAATTCACGGAGTTTGTACATCAGTCCCGGATGCCAGACTCCCCAGCAATAATAAAGTCAATACTGTAAAGTGCAATAAATCCAAAAACAAGACTGTTTTAGCTGAGGTGAATTATAATAGGACTACTGAAAACCTTCCGAAGCAGATTCTTGAGTAGGCAAACCAAGCGTACTAAGTCCTTAATCCGTCCTGTTCTTATCTATACCTCACAGTCATGGGCTATTTCCCAAAGTAACGAAAAGGATTTTTAAACCCAAATTCTTACTGAGTATTATTGAGAGTTGCCATGGAAGGAGGATGAGGAAGAATCGCCAGCTGTACCGAATTTACAAGGAGGCTGACGTGACTCGATTCATTAAGCTTGGGAGGCTCAAGTGGGCTGGTCACGTGGCTAGGATGAGTGTAGAAGAAATACCGAGGAAAGTATCTGAAGATGTTCTTTATAGGAACCGAAGTGCTGGAAGACCAAGGTTGAGGTGGGATGACGGAGTGGTAGCGGGTGCAAAAAAACTCCTAAGGATCATCAACTAGAAGGCAGCAGCAAGATGGTGTCGAATAGCGGAGGTGCACTGAGAAGGCCGAAACCCTCAGGGTTGTAGCGGCACGGAGATGGATTGCTAGATTAATAATACTCCTACAAAAATATTCTTAGGAGGATTGTGAGAAATAACTATCATAGGACAGAACGGCTTGGGCTGTGTAAGACTCTAATGGAAGTCTTGGTTCAACAATAACAAAATAGAAAACAATCAGGCTTACGTTGTCAGTGCTGGTCGTATATATTTTAACATTTGTTCATTTTTGGCTAACTAAAAACTTCAGGAGATTAATTTTTACAAATCCATTGCATTTACCACGATCCTACAATTTCTCCTATGTGTTATAAAAATAATAAATAAATAGAGATGAAATAATCAACAATTTAAGATATCATTAGGTTTTTACAAATAGCATACGAAGACAATAATATAACAACTAAATGAATTCTTCCCTAGTTTTCCACTATGAATATATTAATTTTAAGAGAAAACATAATTAACTTACCCATTATAACGTTACCGACAAACAGGCTTAGAGTGACGGTTGTGAAGGTGGTTAGCCTCTGAAACAATTAAATAACAGTAAATAACATGACAGATATCATAATAAAATGAAAAAGTAATCTTTAATGTGGTAAATCTAGTAAAATAAGAAAAATAAAATTTACAATCCAACTAACACTAATCATGGTGTTTTACTTACACTTGGCTTCTTTATTTTTTAACTATTTATGTACTAATTTACAAATGTTACATTAAATGAGAAATGAAAAGTAAATAGAGATGTAATTTTCATAGAATGAATAATTGAAAATCGAAAATAATAATTGCAGTCATATAAGTACTGATTAAAAACAAACGTTAACTATTCCTTAAAAAAAAAAAGATCTGGTCTAATGAGTTTTTACCTGGCAGAATATCATATTAAATAACTTCATGAAAAATATTGCATATCACCATTAATTTTATTTTAATTCTAATTTTGTCTGGAGTTTGATACTCTTCTCTTGACGCATCAACTCACACGCAACAACCCCGACAATAATAGATTACAAAGTTGTTGTTATGAATTAATTAATAATAGTGTCCACCCATTGGTCGAAATTGGACCATAATCATTATTGAACATTTGGAGAAAACATAAATGTATTTGTATGTTTCCAATTTTTTTTTCTACTCTTCTATATTTTTACATTTACTGGTATATGAATTTACAAAAGAAAGCAGTGTAGTAACATTTGTGTACTTTTTGGGTTAGATGAAAATAAAAATGTGAAACCATCGTAACTATTTTCAAACAAATATTTGAACCCAGTTTTCTCACTCGTCGAAAAATGAAGCAATTCTTTTTTTTTTTTTTTTTTTTTCCTAAGAAGAATCGCATTTTAGAGTTTTTTCAGGTGCGAAATACCAATCTCGATTTCGTCTTTTAAAAAATATGTGAATATATTTAAAAAAGAATTAGACACAATAGAGCTCTCCTAAAAAATAGGACCTAAAAAAAAATTAAAAAAAAAATGTATGCAATAAATGTCTAATGACCCTTTATAAACTACTGATTCCGGGTTTTGATCTGTTTTTAGAAAATTTTAAATGAAGCAAAAAACAATGAAAAATCCTTAGGGGAATTTCGTTTTATCTCCAAAGTATAAATTTACAATATGTCATATTGCTTACAATTAATACTATTTCCATTTTAGCCTTTTATTTTCAATTTAATACTGCACTAGTGATTGCGAAACCGATATCGGTAAACTGAACTAACATGAAATAATATGTATCATATTTCATAATATGTCAACTATATTGGATTTATGGATACACTGTTAGTAATTTACTTTTTTGTTTTTCTTCTTTTATTGACGATATTTACAACTGTATCACAAATAAAAATACATTCAGTAAAAACCACTGGTAGCACTATAAAAATGTATTTACAAAAGGAGGTTTCGATGCCATCTTCTTTTCAGACGCCTCGGAGAGTTGTCAGGGATTGAAGAGGAAGCAAGGCTAGAAACGAGAGAGTTTGGGATGGTTCTGAGGTTTTTTATGGAAGGATAGGTCTCTGGATTGGGCCAGGGAAGAAACATAAGAAACATTAAGGTCGTCATGGATGATTTTATTTGTGACTAAGTAAGGAGCAGTGAAGATTTTACGAAGAATTTTGGATTGCAAGGATTGGAATTCGATGGCTTAGTGGAGCCACAGAGCTCAACTCCGTAAGTCCAAATAGGTCTTATTGCAGTCATGTATATGAATCTTTTGTAATTGACTGGAAGCTTAGAGCGTTTGTCAGTAATTTACTTAAAAGATTACTTTGATATTTTTTATTTTTAAGACTCAATTCAGTTTGATGTTGCAATGTAACATCACTTGCTCACGATGAAATCAAATCATAGAAGGTCGATGTCATAATGTGGCCCGCAGTCCGAATAGTTTAGAGACCTCTACCTTAGGTTATCGGAAGGGTTTTGGGAGACTGATTTCTTTGATATTTTGTCTGCAATGTATTCGATTTATTTCAGCTTGGATATACCTACTACCATTTTCGATAAGGATGAAAAAGTATCAAGGTTTTCAAGAAAAAAGAAAAGAAAATTGATTAATTTAAGGATGCATGGAAGGGTTCAGTCAGGCAACGAGACTAACTTGCTGTGGAGCCTAGGGATCCAGCCGAATAGGTAATAGGCATTTCCTATAAGATGTCGGGGTACGATAGAGCCGAGCACGAGGCTATTAGGCAGAGATCCGATGAGAGATAGGCTGCCACCTGCAGCAGTGTCAGTTCTTGCTCAAGGCTGGAATAATGGTTAACCAACCCGCTCTGTAGCTTTGGCTAGCGGTATCAAGTGTATTACCGAAGCATTATTAGGATATAGATTATTCTACCATTAATCATTATGATGTATCAATTTTGTTAGGATACCCAGGTCATCTGGGATAAGAATTGTCAAATATGAACTATACCTTAGAAAAAAGTAATCATCAGTCAAGATTTAACCGTTTGATGTACGAAAAATATATTAGTTGTGTAATTTATAAGAAGTAAGAGTTATAGCAAGTAATTTTAATGATAGATTCATACATTGCATGTTTCATGATTTCAATCAAGTAAAAAAAATATTGAATAAATGTTAAAAAATATAGGACTTGATTTTCTAGTCCCATCCTTCGGGTTTGGTGCCATTTTCTCATAATCTAACATATGTCTATTATAGGCCATATGTCACCAAAAAAACACAGTTTTTTATATATTACATGTATGTTTATTCCAACGTTTCGGCTTCAGGAGCCATTTTCAAGAACCTGCAAACTAAATTTTAATTTACTTTTTACCATTCAAGTATAGCCTCAGACAATAAACTTGTATCATTCACCTACCATGCACCGCGCCATAAAATTTTTAAAATTTGTCATTACGATATGACTCGTCCTAATTCATTCTTTTATTTCAAAGAATGTCGTTTTCCGTTTCTAAAAATTATAATATATAATTATAAATTAAAAATAGACTGCTATAATTAATTTTTAATTTTTTAAAATTTTTAATTTTCGATTTATATACCTCTATTTGCAGACGGTATCAAGAAAGTATTGTTCTTCAATAGGGCATTCATACAGGACTGGATTTACTTACATAAGGAGTGGGGTGGAGGAGTAAGTGATCAGCTGTTTTATATCGGTATGTTATATATTAATTTTGTCAATCGTGCTAGCATAAAACGTGTTTAAATTATCAACATCTGTCTGTTGATTCACTGAATGTTTTAGATTTTTAGTGATAAAAATAGATTCAATGATTCTACGTTTCCCAATATTTTGTTCTCTATGCAACACGGAAGCAGAACCGAAATCAAATTTATGTCCATTTTTTGTGGTATGCTGCGATAATCCTGTTGCTAATTTTGATTTTGTCGTTTTAGACCAGCAATTTTGTCTATGTTGCTGCTGAATCCTACGTTCAAACCATTATGAGGTTTGTCCGTAATATGCTTTATTTTCACAATCCTCGCATCGTATTTTATAAACAATATTAGTTAGTTTTTCTTTTGGAATAATATCCTTAGTTCTACTATATAATTTATCTAATTTATTAATAGGTTTTTTCCCAAATCTGATTTCATTTATATCATATTTTTTAAAAGTTTTTTTCAATTTTATCAGTTAAACCTCTAATATAAGTGACCGAAAAGTATTTTTTGGGGTTGGGGTCTGCGTTAATATTCTTATTTTTCTCATTCTGAAATTGTAGATCAGGATTTTCTTTGTTATGCTTATGTTTTTCAGTATTATCTACTTTAAAATAGTTTGTGCTTAGATTTGCTTTTTTATTTTTGGTCTTGTTTTGATACGTTTTTATATTGGTATTGATGTTTGGACCCTTTATTTCTTTATAATTATCTATGTTTGTTTCTCTTTTATCTTTGTGCCATAATTTATTTATCAGTCTTATGGGGTACCAATTTTGGAGTAGAATTTCATATATTTGTGTTTTTACTTCTTTAATATGTATTTCATCTGTAATCAGTTTGGCCCTATCTATTAAATTTTTAGCTGTATTAATTTTCTGTTGTGTATTATGGTTACTATGCCAGTTTAGTATTCTATTGCTCGTAATAACTTTTTTACACCACGATGTTTTTAGTATCCCTGCTTCATTTCTATTTATATTCATGTCCAAGAATCTAATTTTATTGTTTTCTTCCACTTCATTTGTGAATTTAAGTTTATCAGACAATGAATTTAATATGTTTAAAAAAATGATTATTTCATTTTTGTCTATAATCGTCAGGATATCGTCAACATACTTTATAAAAATCTTAGGAATTTTATTAAATTTCTTTACAGCTTCATCCAACAGGCTATTTAGGTATATGCCGCTAAGATTAATCGATATAGCTCCTCCCATCGGCAGTCCGTTTCTAATTTTAAAGAAATTGCTATTGTATGTGAAGTATCCGTTGTCACAGATTAATTTTTTAAATTATGGTGCGGTGCATGGTAGGTGAATTATACAAGTTTATTGTCTGAGGCTATACTTGAATGGTAAAAAGTAAATTAAAATTTAGTTTGCAGGTTCTTGAAAATGGCTCCTGAAGCCGAAACGTTGGAATAAACATACATGTAATATATAAAAAAACTGTGTTTTTTTGGTGACCTATGGCCTATAATAGACATATGTTAGATTATAGGATTTGATGTTTTTTTTTTCATGCCGTTTACTTAAGCATTCATAAATCCTTAGCATATTCTCCCAATTCAACATTTCTATAACCGTTAGAAAGTTCAATTATTGCTCTTCGAGACCGTATCAATAACTTTTAAATTCTACCCTTTTATAAGGAATGAACAAAGAACCGTCACGTCATCATCAAACGTTTTTATTTTATAGCTCCGGTACTAATTTGTTTACTAAGTTCCGTTTTTGCCGGTACGTATTTCTTGTATGGTATCTTATATTGCACTAAATCCTTAAAATGTTTTCATAAGACATGCCTCTTAAACACAGGCAAATTTTAAGCAAAATGTTTTTACTATTCAATTGCAATGAAAATTAGTACAA